GAGAATTTTTGTTCTTAATTATTTTGAGCTAATTCAATTTGTTCCACTTGGAAATTCTGCCTCTGGTTAATGAAGTTTTTTAAATTGTTAATGGTAAGGTTAAGTCGAAATTTCCTAAAATTTTTTCTACGAAGATTTTGTTCCGCTCAGAAGACTTTAGTTGTGATTGTGTCTATTTCGGTAACTGGTCTTCGCTGTCGGCAGGGGCGGATCTAGGATTTTCTCGAGGGGGGGGGGGGGGCGGATTTTCAAAAAGAAATCGAACATTTTGTTGATTTTTTAAGCTCTCCCAAAGCACTGTTTTGTCCCTATTTTGGCAAATTTTTCTGCGCCGCAGGCAAATTTTTGAAAAAATCAGTCAAAAAAGGCGTTTTTAGGCACTTTTTGAAAATTTTGACCAAAAAGTTGCGTTTTTTCGGCGCGCGCTCCCCCTCTCAAAATTAGTAAATATTGGCGCCAAAGGCGCCTTTAGAAAAATTTTAGGGTCGGTCATTATTTAGGCATAGTCATATGCAGATTTTGGTTTTATCTTCTGCGTCAATTCATTTCTGCATTCCATAAAAATACCCCATACACCATTATTTATGTTCTTTTGTTTTTATTTTTTAAACAAATACTCTGGGTGCCATGTTTCTTCCTCCAATTTTTGTGGGTTTTTTCTCGATCAATTCGATATACTAGTAACCTGGTTCTGTTTCACCCAATTTGCCTCGAAGCTGTTTGCTGATGTGAAAACTTTCCTTTGTGACTGGGTGTTTTATTTACTGGCTGTGCCATGTTTTTTCCCGCGAAAACAAGCTTCTGCGTACTGGGGGTAAACTTAGTGTCCGACGTGGTCCTGGCATTCACGTGTTTAGTAAGTACTTAATGTTTGGTAACGTTAACTTCGGGCGAAAACTTAGCTCGCCTAAGAACCATTTTTAACTCGACTGGTGTTACATGTCTAACAAAGATTAGCCGTCAAGGCTCAGCAACATAAAATAAGTAATTTGCACGAATAAATTGATTTGAAATATTAAATAAAACAACATTTCAGTTGCAAAATTAATTTTTATCCAACTGGATAGCGGTGGAAAAGAGTGATAAGTCGATTTTTGATATCTAATGCAAACCTGAGAAGAACTCAACTTATCTATTGGACGTTTTGATAATTTTTTCAATATAAAATGGTCAATAATCCTTTTTATTTTTAGTTGATTGTTGTTTGCTCCAGACTGATAAGTACTTAGTGTATGGTTATCTTCATAAAAGAATGAGTCCAGAGGTTTACTGGGATCGCCTTTCCAATTACGAAAATGAGAGCAGACCACTCAACAATATTGCAGTAAGACACTTTTCAAATTGACGCGCTGCAAATGGCAGCTCTTAACAAAACAAAATCGCCATTTACAGGGTAGGTAGCTCTCTATTTTCCAGCGGGATTTGTTCTTGCAAAAAAAAAAACATCTAAAAATTAGAAAAAAAAGGAAATCGCTTAAGCGAGTGTGGTTAGCCCGAAATAGCCTTCATCCATTGAACTGGTTTTTTTTACTTGATACTTTTCTCTCACAATACAAAGCTTTTGTCCTACTACAAGGAAGGAAAATCATATGTTTTCTCTAAACATGAGTCTGAGCAGATGAAGCTTAGATCCGTTTCAAAATCAAGAAAAAAATTGAAAACGTTTTGAAATTGAATAGTGGAACCAGATCCAAACTATAATTTATTATTGGTTATAATTTACATATTTTATCCCTATAAAATATTAAAGACTAACCAATCATACTCCATCAAACTAACGACCCACTTTTTGTAAGTGCTGAAATTACTTGTAATTTCAGCACCAGAGAGATTTGAATTTAACTTACAACTTAGTTGCTTTCTCCAGGAGACCGAATTGTAATAAAACCATTATACTCTAGATCTATTGAGACTAAGAGATTTAAGAGTAAGATTAAGATCGGTATTAGACTAAGAAGTTGCAGGCTTCTATCCGGCCGAAAATAAGATAGGGTGACGAGCAGACGGTGTACCCTATCTGAAATTACTCTATGAGTTAGAACATCCATCCCAACTCATCTGATGCGACCAAAAGTCTCGAACAAGACCTTAAAAAACAAATTAGCTTAGAACTAAGAAAATAGAGTAGAATTAGACAAAAACATTTTCAAAACATTTTACATGACAATAATTTAGTTGAAATGTCTCTACGACTCAATAGATCAGAGCCATTATTCCAAACAATACGAGAACTACCCGGTAATGGAAGAAGACCTCGGACAAGAGACGACATACGACTACAAAGAAACTTACCAATAAGTTTCATGGTCGTACCGCAAAAGCAAACACAAACATTTTTCTATTCAGAATTTTATTAGCAATGAATTTAGATTTTCATTTATAAACATAGTATGTTTGAAGAAAAATCTTCAACGATCATTACAGGTGCTAAACTTATTAATATACAATAACGACTGATAAAAACATCTCTAGTCGTTCCCTCCAAAACTGCAGTAAAATTTAAAAAGATAACTGGAAAATTTTTTTTATAGAATATAAAATATATTAAATTAGTTAGTATAAACACAATTTGTTAGTATATATAAATCATCTCCTCATCCACAGCTTCATCACATAAACATAACAGCGAATCATAAACCCACTAACATCATCAAAAACTAAAATTTTATTTCAATTAAACTTTAAATTATTTATAAAGCCTATCCTAATTCTTGTTTTTAATTAAAATAATAAACCTATTTAAATTAAACAGATCATCAAGGCTTTCCTTGGATCTTTCATTTTTTTCCAACTAAATTGAATTTAATTTCATTAATTTTATATCCTGATCATCGAAGCTTATCCTTGGAACAAATAGAACAATTTTGTTCTCCCCCTCACTATTAATAAAGTATCTAACGACCTCAAACGTCGATTCACTACCCAACCCTTCCTCAAGACCCAGGATTATTAGAACTTTTTTCAAACAAACTAACCATTCTAATTAGGATAAACAGTAAAAAACTTCGGTTATTCATCCTTCACTTCACCCCCCCCCCCCCTCTTATCTGACCCAGGATAATACTTAAACTTAGTAAGTTTAAAACAGTATCTAACAAAATACCTGTGTTCTAAATATACCTGAACCTTGTGGATCGATTTACTATTCTCCAAACCTTGAACACAATCGCCACCCCTAAGTAAGATTAATTAAGTTAACACCTTAACTAAGGCTAGCCACGAGAAAGTAAAAATCATTCCACGGAATCGATATACGCTTTTTTCTCCAACCCTGAATACATGACCCAAGGTAGGCTAACCACAAAAAATTGAGAGCTAACAGTTTAGGAAATTAAAAATCACTAATCACAATATTGCATCCGTCATCCTAAACTTTATGTCACAGGACAGTTTAGGAAATAAACAGACAATCGTATTACACAATTGTGAAATAAACAATGAAAAATTTGATCTCGTAATTACTTCACACAAAAAAACAATATGATATCTTCGAACAAAAAGACAAACAGTTTAAAGAAAAAATATAAGCAAACAAAGACAAATTACACAAAAAAGATTTTCAAAACGAAGGAACGCAGTCTCCGAATCAGAAACCAGTAAACTAGAAGAACTTTACAAGCTAAAAGACTCCGTAAAAACAATTACCAAGTTATTGATCAACTATATTTTTCTGACTCAGAAACAACATCACAAGCATCACTACAATGAAAATGAAGAATAAAAAAGGCCTACAAAAACACACCAGTACGTCTATACAATTGGAATCAACCAATAAAACACATTGAACAATACGCATTAACAGTCATAAAACGCAAGATTGAATCGAAGTGAAGAAAGCCAAGACGAAAACTCACTGATAACAGAGGACAAAGACAATTTTGTCAAAATTTAATTGCAAATTTATTCGAAAGAGGAAATAGTCCATGTACAACAGAATTTCCAGAAGTCAAAATCAAAGGACAAATTATCGATCACTATCTAAAAGGAATATGTAATATAGCATAACAGTATGGAATCTATACCATAGAAATCAAATCAGCAAGTAAGCTTCATGGTAAAAATCTAATTCAAACAGACGACGTAGATATAGAATTTTCAAAAGCATTCACAGAATACATAAAAAATATACAACATCAAAACTCACAAAGAGCAAATTCAATTTACTCTTTTCAATTTACTAACAATGTGTTTCCAATAATATATACTTATCTATCTATACTAGAAATAATAGAATCTCAAGGAACTTCACCAGTTCAAACATCTAGACATACGACTGTAAGAAATGAAATTACACATTTTCAGAATTTTTAAAAGCAATCCGTGAAAATTTAACAAACAACGAAGTTTCACAAATTGTTAAACACGACTTACAAAAAATCTTAGCATGATTTAGGATTAATTATTTCACACATAGTATCGATTTAATTTCACAAGCAAGAAAAAGTTTTAGACCCCAAAATACAAATGTTGACACTGTGATAGCGGAAAAATCAGATTAAGTTTGTGACCCTGAATGGTCTCATCCACTATTTCTGAACTTACCAATAGACATTTCAAGTCAAGCAATAAGCGCAATTTCTATTCACAAAGAATATGTTAAAGTATATCCACTCACAATAGACGCAACTACTTTAAACTATAACTCAATTCTACCCGATAGAATAGAAAATAATAGTTTAAACTCAACCATTATACAACAGGAAAACCTAAATGGAACTAGAAATCTTACCCAACAAGATATTCAAACACCAATATATTTCGTAAATGAAGAAATAGTTGAAACAATAGTAACAACAACACAACAAAGTATTTCACCAATACACCCAAATCTTACAACGGAATTCACAAATGGATTAATTCACAAATGGATTATCAAACATATTCACAAATGGATTATCAAACATATAGACCAATGACAAAATCAACACAAAAACGAATTAAAAAACAACCACATAAAAAAGACATTTTCTTTTAATAGAAAAAGAAAATCTAACTGATACATTAATATTATCAGGACCATCACCAAACGAATCGAAAAACACGATAAACCAAGTTTTTAATTTTCATTACCCATTTGATAAAAAACTTCTATCAAAGCTAGAAGTAGAAAACATTTTTCTACCAACAACATAAAAAATTACACTAGAATTATTACAAAAATACCAAAATCTTGACCCAGTCATCAGACAGCTAAAATTATGGCACAAACATAAAACTAAACCAATCAAAGCTGATACCACAATCTTAGGGAAAAAACACTCCTTCGATTTTTCAGAAAATTTAATAGTACTATTATAAATGAAAACACAGATATTTTAGAATATCAAGCGCCTGATTTTAAAGTACCTTGTCTACCTTTAAGTATGATGCTAATAGCTTTCAATACATCTCATACATTGAATACTAAAGGACACTCAGGATCAGAAAAGACATACCCTAACTTCATCCAAATTTTTTTTTCTCAAATGCACCAATCTGGATTAAAGTATTATGCAACGATTGTATAATATGTCAATTAAAAAAAACCAAACTTAATCAAAAGCAAATTGCAGAAAAACAAGATTTTAAAGGACAAAGTCTATATTTCAATCATAGAATTTCATTTGACACAAAAGGACCAATTTCACCATCCTCAGATGGAAACTCATACATAATGGTAATTAGTGACGTATTTACGCACTACGTACCACTCAGCCCAGTACCCAATTGTAATGCCTATTTTGCATAAACAATCTACGAACACTGGATAGCTAAATTCGGATTACCCAAAATACTAGTCACAGACAATGGCATTGAATTTATAAATAACGAAACTATTACAATATGTCACTTATTTAATAATAAATATAATCCACGTACATCTCATGCACCTTGGACAAGCGGATTAGTCGGAGGTATGAACCGTTCATTACAAGAATATCTTAGATGTACCCTTAATGGAAATTATACACGATACAGCGAATGGTCAACCGATGTAAAATTATTCCCTTTATCCTGTAATTCACAAATTACAACAACACTAGGAACGTCACCATACGAAATGGTATTTAATCAAAAACCACGATAACCAATAATGTTCACAGCAAAAACGCACAAGGTTAACGTCAACCAAAAAAAGATTCAAAATGTTACATTTTACCACTACATTCCCATGATGACGACCACTTTCCTCATCCACAAATTTTAAAAATAGCTTCCGGGACACACATCGAAGGGATGTTAAATAGAGATAAAAAACATAACGAAAATTATCAAAAAGAAACAAAGAAATTGTTACAAAGACAAAACTTAAATAACCAAATCATATCACGCTTTACTTCAGCA